AAAAAATTAACCAGGCATGGTGGTGAACACCTGTAATCCCAGCTACTTGGGAGGCTGAGGCAGGAGAATTGCTTGAACCTGGGGGGCAGAGGTTGCAGTGAGTTGAGATCGCACCATTGCACCACAGCCTGGGTGGTGGAGCAAGACTCTGTCTCTAAAAAGAAAAAAAAGAAAGGGGACTACTTGTCCAAGTTCAAAGAGCCAGGAACTGAAGGAGCCAGGGTATAAACTCAGGGGGCCTGGTGTCAGTCTGTGACGTTAATGCCTGCATGCTGCTCCCTCACCTGCAGCCATTTCAGGGACTGTCACTGAGGCTGCTCGGCCCCAGGATTCACCTACATGAGCAAGCCCCTTCCAAAGAGGCCATTTGAAACAGGAGAACCATCATGGTCCTCCTGTGGGGAACAGACCTCTAGCCTCATTGTCCCTGGAGCAAAGCCAGTCAGGACCTCCCTGGACCTCACTTTCCTGATCTGCAGCTAGTTGGTGGAAGGAGCCATGATGATTTAGGCTTTGCCCTCCCACAGGATTGTAAGAGACTAGCGAGGAGTGGGTTTGGAAGTACTTCCCAGGCTGAAGAAAACCCAGGCGGCCCAGGCCCAGGAGTGCGGCATCCATACCCAGCTCTTGCAGTCTGCCTTCAGCTCCCTGGGACTGAGACTTCTCACACCTCAGCCTGCCTTGCAGGGATGCTGAGAACATCAAAAGCAAATATGTAGAAAAGATACTGTACTCCACAGGCCCAATGTGACCAAGACTCGGGAACTTCTTTTCTGTCCTACAAGGGAAGATATTTGAGCCCAAATAAGGTGCTTTAGGACATGAGCCTGCAGGAAAGGTCAGCCTCTGCAGACGGTCTTCATCTCGAGAATCCAGAGTATTGGGCAACTGATCCTAGCTGCTGCTATCAACCCAGCATGGAGGTTTTTCTCTGGGACCTGGAAGGAAAGGAAAACGCACTTCTTCCACTTACAGCTAGCTGCCAATCACCCGTGAAAACCAGTATTTTCTTTTCCAACTGTGCACTACATGTGGTTTTTTTGGTTTGTTGTTGCTATTTTTGGGACGGAGTCTTGCTCTGTTGCCCAGACTGGAGTGCAGTGGCACAATCTCGGCTCACCGCAACCTCTGCCTCCCAGTGCCTCAGCCTCCCAAGTAGCTGGGACTACAGGCACCTGCCACCACACCCAGCTAATTTTTATATTTTTAGTAGAGATGGGGTTTTACCATATTGGCCAGGCTGGTCTTGAACTCCTGATCTTGTCATCCACCTGCCTCGGCTTGTCAAAGTGCTGGGATTACAGGCATGAGCCACCTCACATGGCCTGTTTTTTAAAAATAATGTTTTATTTTAAAAAATAACCCTTCATTGAGGTATAATTGAAACACAATAAAGTGGACATTCCAAGCCTTACAAGATTTAAATGTGCAATATGATACATTTTGCCACATATATACATCCATGAAGCCACTATCACAATCAAGATAGTAAACGTACCTGTGACCCCTAATGTTTCCTCATGCCTCTTGGTAATTCCTCCCTCCTGTCTCTCCCTGCCCGCCACCATCCAAAAGCAACTGTTGATCTGCTTTGTGTTTCCATAGTTTTTTGGGATATATGGAATCATATAGGATATAGTTTTTTGGATTTTTTTAAGTGAAATCTCACTTTGTTACCCACACTGGAGTGCAGTCTCAGCTCACTGCAACCTCCACCTCCCAGATTCAAGCAGTTATCCTGCCTCAGCCTCCCGGGTATCTGGGGCTACAGGCGCATGCCACCATGCCCAGCTAATTTTTGTATCTTTAGTAGAGATGGGGTTTCACCATGTTGGCCAGGTTGGTCTTGAACTCCTGACCTCAAGTTATCTGCCCACCTCAGCCTCCCAAAGTGCTGGGATTACAGGTGTGAGCCACCATGCCCGGCCGGAAATACTCTTTTCTATATGACTTTTCACTTAGCATAACTATTTTGAGACTCACTCACGTGTACCAGCATTTATTGCCGAGTATTCCGCCGGACGGTGTGTCACAATTTATCCATTCATCTGCTGATGGACGTTTGAGTTGTTTCCAGTTTTTGGCTATTACAAATAAAGCTGCTATGAAAATTCATCCATAAGTTTTTGCATGGACACATATTTCCTTTTCTCATGGGTAAATACCTGGGAGTGGAATACGGGATCATAAGGTAGATGTATTTTTAATGTTTTAAGAAACTGTCAAATTGTTTTCCAAAGTAGTGGTGCAGTTTTACATCCCCATCAGCAGTGTTTGGGAGTTCTTGTTGCTTTACATATTCAACAGCACATAGCATGGTGAGTTTTTTAAACGTTAGCCATTCTTCTGGGTATGTAGCGGTATCTCTGTGGCTTTAACTTGGCATTTCCCTAATGACTAATGATGTTGAACATCTTTTCTTTTCTTTTTTTTTTTTTTTTTTTTGAGACGGAGTCTTGCTCTGTAGCCCGGGCTGGAGTGCAGTGGCCGGATCTCAGCTCACTGCAAGCTCCGCCTCCCGGGTTTGCGCCATTCTCCTGCCTCAGCCTCCCGAGTAGCTGGGACTACAGGCGCCTCGCCCGGCTAGTTTTTTGTATTTTTAGTAGAGACGGGGTTTCACCGTGTTAGCCAGGATGGTCTCGATCTCCTGACCTCGTGATCCGCCCGTCTCGGCCTCCCAAAGTGCTGGGATTACAGGCTTGAGCCACCGCGCCCGGCCATGATGTTGAACATCTTTTTATGTGTGTGTTTGCCATCTGTATCTTCTCAAGTCTGTTCACATTTTTTCCCGATGTTTTATTTTATTATTGAGCTTTGTGAATTTTTTTTTTTTTTTTTTTGAGACAGAGTTTTACTCTTGTTGCCCAGGCTGGAGTGCAATGGGGTGATCTCGGCTCAGCAAACCTCCTCCTCCTGGGTT